ATGTTATTATTTAAATAATTATTATTTTTATTTATTTAAAACTTATAATATTGAGTTTCTACTAATTTAATTACATGAAAAAGTTGTAAGTAATTAAAAGGCAATTGTGACACCAAATTTTTTCGTGGGTTGCCTATTGCTGTCTTCCTTTTCTGTTTCTTCTACAATTTTAACCCTAACACGTGGATTAATACAGAGCCAGCATGGGGTTAAAATTGTAAATGCAAAAAGAAACAATGGAGAGAGAGAAACCCACCCCATCCAGCCCATGTTGTTAAAATTTCAAATGGAAATATCTTTTTTTCACACTAATGATGAGGTTAGGCTACAAAAATTCAAAAAACCAGGCTGGGCAAATATCAAGGACCACGGATGGTACCTCAAGATTAACGCAACATTTCACACCAATTTATCAATTCTTTCCCTTTCCCTTAGCCCTATTTAATTTAATTATATATATAATAATCCCCTTCCTTAGTTTCTTGCTGAGCCATGAAAGTATGAAACCGCGTTTAGCCTAGTAAAAGTTTCCTAAAGTTGGAAATTTATTCTTCTTCCTGATTAAGATCTGTCAAAAGGATCTTAGAACAAAGGAGGAAAAATGGAAAAAAGAACTTTCTCTCCTCCTTTCGTTTTCACAGCTGTGTGCAAAATGCAAGGCCAAAATCCACTACAAAAATTGCTATAATTGCAACTGCCCTTCATGTGGTTTTAATATATACAAGTGTAATCTGTCCCACAATCGTCAAATTGGGTTCATTATACAAGGCAACTTCACTTATATCTTACTGGACAACTTAAATTTAATATTTTTTTATTTTTATTAAAAAAAATTAATGTTAAATTACTTCAATGGTTTTTTTAACTTTAAATGAGTAGTTTCATTTAATTAAAATTTAATTCAAAATTTAAAACTTTATTTTATTAAATATTGATACATGTATTTAGAAATTAATTATATATTTTAATATAATCAATTTTTAAATTTTTATATTAATATTTAATAAAGTAAATTTTTGAATTTTGAATTGAATTTTT